AGCAGATTTTGTATATGATATAACTACATATCATATACAAAAAAAAGTATGAAAGTATCTGGTAGATTGGGTGAATAATTCAAATACTATAGAAAAATGTAAGAGACAGATCAAGTACCAAGATCAACTAGTCAAAAGTTTAAAATGCTAGTGCACTTTGAACTCTACTCAGATAAAGAACCACGCAGTCACAAGAGGCTCCATCTTTATCGTTAGTCTTGTTCCAAGACTAGGATATGAATATTTGTGACTTTTATATCGTTTGATTTGAGTCAAAAAATTATGGGTAGATATAATAATTTGGAAATTTTTTGGTTGTAGTGCTTATCTTTTCATATAGATTCAAAACAAAACGAGTAGTATCTATCTGTTTCTTTTTCTATTTCTAATTAAAGGAGAACAAGTTATATCTTTCTCGTTGCAGTATTTGTTTTTTCATATGCAATCAAAAGAGAACAAGTTGTGTCTATTTAGTTGTATTTTTTGTCTTTTCATATCTACAAACAAAAGACAACGATAGATTTTATATTCCAGAAATATGATTTTCCTGCATACAATATTGACAATGCTTATAGATTATTGGAGTTTGTAGCTTTTATATTGGTTTTCAGTAATTTCTTTTTTTGTTGAGTTCATATCATGGAAAGAAGAAATGATATCTAAGATTATAATATTTGTAAAAATCGAGTTTTCATTCACAAATGAAATTGTTAACGAATTAAGGAATTGCATTATTGTTAGTGTGACTCAAGTAACTGCATTGAACTATGAATATAAATCAAGTTCATTTTAAATGCGAATATCATATGAAATGAGTAGAGCTTCCATTAAATTTTACACATACATCAATGTATCAATTCTTGGGTATCATGATATATCAACAAAGTATGTTGATACATTCAAAAAATAAAATTCAATTTTAAATTTCATTAAATGGAAGAGGTGTTATTTTTATCGATCGTAAAACAAAACTGTATGTTTACCAAAATTTGGAAATGGTTTAACATTTGTTCGAGTGATAACAAATACGTTTATAAGTTTAAATATTATCAAGCACACAAAGATAAAAAAATAATTCTTTAAAGCTAAGCTAAGGTGTTTAATGATTAAATTCAGAAGAAAATTGATTTATATTTTTCATCCAAGAATTGCAATGATTCTTAAAATGTGCATATTTTGCAATATATGATAATTTTTGGAATACATGGATGTTTAGTTATAAACGGATATCAATGTTGAAGATATAAAATCAACATGGAATTTTTTATAAGCTTTAAAAAAAAATATTGAAGAGAATTTTCAAATTTTCATATAGTTAGAAAATACTAGACAATAAGTTAAAAAATTTGATGACTCCATGAATGTAGAAAAAATTATACATATTGTGTTTAAAATGAATTTATATATAAGCATGATTATTGTATTCATTTTCTTGAATTTTATTTAATTGAAATTTTTTGTTCAAAAAATAATGTGAAATGAATAAATTCAATAGTAATTTTTAAATATATTAAAAAAATTCAAATTTTGACAAGGTTATTTCAAGTGGATGTCTAAAGAATTTTGAAGAAGTATAATGTATGACTTAATCATATATATTAGCTTTCATTTTTATATATAATATATTATAATATTATACATATTATAACCAAAAAAAATCTAAAATCATAATTGAATTAATAAGCATTCAAACTTTTGATTTATCCAAATAACACATCATTTTTCAATGCTTTTTTTTTTAACTAGAAAGTCATACATCTATTTGATTTTTTTTATTAAATTTGAAATTATTCCATATCAAAATTAAAAGAAAGAAAATACATGTCAAACTTTTAATAAATATTATTCTCAAAATTTGCTCTTTACTTTTTAAACTTCTATGTCAAAAAAGAATTTTATATATATATATATATATATATATATATATATATTGATGATTTATCAAAAATTTCTTAACACTTGTTGATTGAATTGTATCCAAATTTGAAAAAATCAAGAAAAACTTATTTCAATGAATTAATCTTTTGCAGTTAACTTGCATGAATGCATAGCTCAATCACTTACAGAAAAAGATATCTAGTAGAGATTGAAAAAAAATTTGTTGATAACAACTATTAGTAAGTTAAGATTCATCTAATAAATTTTATTGCGATATTGAATGTAATGAATAAGGGCAAAAAATATTAGTTCATAGTTAGCTGGATGAATAGCATTAATATAATGTACATCACAAGATGCAAATTTGAATTAGAAAACAGTGAATTCATACAAATTGATATTGAATTTAATCAAATTGATGCATTGATCAAATTTAAATGATAATAAGAAATCATGTGCTATTAAATCAATTTTACATCCAAAAAAAGTAATTTAAGCTTGTCTTGTTTATACTCTATGTGATTTAAGACGAGGATTGTTATGAAATTTATGTCTTGAAAAAATTTAGGTTTTTGATTGTGAGGAGTAGATCAATGTTGAATATATTATGGGAGCGGTTTGTTATTTCTCATTTTTGACTAATTATTATTCACCCTACTATACGCTCTTCTTTGATTTGTGCATGCGGGGTTATAGTTTTCGTGGAGTAGTTCGTTGCTACTTTTAAAATAGGTAGTTTTTTTCTCTTCCCTTTGAGTCAAAGTTGCCTCTATGGCAGACACCTTATCAAAGTCACGTCTGTCACGTCACGTCAAAGCCGCCTCCCCAGCTCAATTCATGAAAAGATATGAATTGAACACGCGGAATCACGTTCGCAATATGTCACGACCTGCTTTCGCATTTTGAACAAAATGAATAAGCTAACACACTAACACATGACGCAGAATCTATGAGAGCTCTGATCGCATTCAATTTTTGTGCAAGGTTCATGAGTCTCAAGCATGCAATAAATTTGACCTAGCCAGATTGTTCTAACAATCTTAGTTCAACTATACGATGACGTCGAGCTTGCAAAATGTGTTGGATTCCATTCTTTAAATGCACTTGATAGGTTGAGCTTAATTCAAATTCAGATAGAGCTTATGTTGCTGCAAAAGTGGCCACTGTCTTAAACTCTTATCTATGATATTACTCGCAAACAATTCTTTGTTAGTTTTGGGTTCCGCTATAAGACAGTCTGATCTGCTCGGAGTCGGTTCAGCTCGGCAATTGTTAAATTTTCATGAATGTTGAAAAATCAAACGTTCTAATCATAGTTGTGTAAAACATAAGTGCTCGATCAAGTTTTTGATAATACCATGACAGTGACTTTGACGTGGTTTCTGCCACGGAGGAGTCTTTGACGCAAAGTAAAAAGTAAAAACTCCTTATTTTAGAAGTAGTAACGATTCACCCCACGAAAGTTATAACACGGCATTGTTCAATAACATAATATAGTATAATAGGGTGAGGCATACTTAGTCAAAAGTGAGGTATAGCTAACCACTTTATATTATACAAAAGTATTGTTGAAAAACATTTGTGACATATTAGGATATATCATCAAAACTATTGATTTAATATTCAAAGATATAGACTCAAAAAATCAATCACATGTTTTCTTTATTGACTTTTTTAATTTGAAATCTTTTTGAATATACTTTGGATCAAAAACAGATTGGTTTGTCATTTACAATAGATTAAAAGTATATTATAATGGGTGATGAAGTATTATTATCAATCATTTTCAAAACATAAATTCTATGCATTGCATGATCAAGCATTATAATATTATCAAATATTCTTCATGACCACGTCATATTTTGATAGAAAAATATCACAAGTATGCATGTATTATGTTGTAATCCAATAATATTTTTCACAACACAACAGATTATTATTTTCTAGCCACATATATAAGCATTTTTTAAGCAGAATGATATTTATCTTGCAGTGTTTGAATTAAAAAATGCAAACGTTGAGTATGTTAGAATCATTTATATATTAAAAAATCTAGGTATAATTGATTATTCATGGATTCAAGTTGCATACTAAATATGTATTTTTTATATACAGCATGTGCAACATTTAGATCATAATACATATCCATGAGTATATGAAAGTTCAGAAAACCAATATGGACACAATTTGCATATTTCAAAATCGCCATCTGTGAAGTAAGCGTGACACTTCTTTTAAAATCTAATTCTTTCTTGTAAATAAGTGACAGGAATTAACAGTATTATCTTAGCCTTAACTACACTAGATTAGGAGGGGCTAAGAGTGATAAAAAGAAGAAAAAATTGTTATAGATAAATTTGGTTTATTTTCATGTTTTGAATAGACTTATTAGAACTTCACTGTTTCAAATACACATTGAATGAAATTTGTTCAATTTGGATTCATTCTTTACTTGTAATGAGGGCGAAAACTGTGCATAAGCTTATGCAAGTCAATCCAACAAATGCAACGGAGGCAAAATATAGCTCTTTGTTTTCCAAAAAGCTATATATGTCAACCATCTTTTCTTCGCAAAAAATGGTTGACATATGTTTGAACTATTTCGCAGTTAAGATTATTTGTTCGGAAGCTTCTCACTTCCATCATGTTTGTCTTTTTATCAGTAAGATTTCAAAATGTGTAGTTACATAAAAGTGTCAAAACCACTATCCATAAAACTTTCCATGAACCGATGACATGAAAGACATCATTATTAGTACAAAGATAGTAATATTATCTAACACATATATCTTCTTACTTGGTTTTTTGAGTTATATACAATTTAATATAGTTACAAAAGCTTTGGTAAAAAACATTAAAAAATAACCAGATTGATAAACAAGATGCAATGATCAGAATTTCACCACACATGAAGATATTGTTATCTAGCTCATTCTGAAACTGGGTTATCTTAAAGCAATGTCCAATTGAGGCCGTTGAGTATTGAAACCAGTATTCTTCATGTGTCTTTCAAAGATACAAGAATGAGTGAACGATATCTTGATTGCGGTTCATTGCATCAATCCCTTCCCAGGTCAGTTAGACAGAGGTAGAAAGTCTTGCATCTAAAATTAAAGACAGCCAGCGTACTATGGACGACATGGAACAGCGGCCAAGAATTGCTCTGTACTTTACGATCACGATTACACTGTCACTTGACAGATAGTTGTGATTAATTACAGCTGAATCGTAGAAGCCGAAGGGGTGCTTGATGCCCGACATTGTTCCTCGCCTCTGTCGAGCATTTGAATCTTATATTAAGGTCCGAAGTCGAAGGCAGAGGTGTCAGGTTAACCCAACAAGGCCTTCCGAACATGGCGAGGGCTGTGTACAGAGATCTTCTCCGGTCGCTGAACAAGCATGTGAGCCGCGGCTCTGAAAACAGGCAATTTCAGAAATTTGTCTCCGAAGAATTTCGAAAGTTCAAAGATCTGTCCGATCCAGTTTTGATTGAGAAGAAGTTGAGCCTTGCAAAGGATTACGCCATGCTGGTCAACAGCGTCCACTACCACAGGGTACGTCAGCTTTCTATCAGGACCTTCGCTCGATCTAGTTCTCGTTAGGTTTGAAATCTCGTCAAAATTCGATAATCGGTCGTAGATGTTGTATGCATTTCAAACTTTTCTGTAGGTTAGTCAGACCTACAGAGACCAGCGAAGTTAGTCTGTGCTCCATTTTCTAGATGAAAACCTCTGCTTGCTCCTGAAAGTGATGTCCACATTGAATAGTGATAAAAAAATTATCGGAGTCAACCGAATCCTTCTTCGAGATTCCTGTATGCTGAAGACTAGAAGACTTTGCTCATTCTGTAATCGTTCATGTTGCTCGAATCGGCTGAATCCCGCCTGTGGTTGAAATTGTGCTGCCCTATTAATTATAGTGGTTGAAACTACAGAAATTGATTCCTGTTTTTTCTCGTCTGCAGAACCTTCTCCTCTCATATAACATCGGTGTCGACAGAGAGGCCGAGCAGGAATTGCGATTGAAAGACACCGCACAAAGAGTGGGACTACAAATGCCTACTGTATACGAGGACCTTGACAGAAGACTTTGACGTTTCTTACAATTTTGAACACACATAGAGTATAGGTGCAGTAAAAGAGATACATATTTGAGAACATACATTCATGCATAGGAGACCTGGTGATTTCCAGAGGCCTTGTAACTCTCCTTGCCTACGGTGGTAAATGCAACCATGACGATTTAAAAACAGTTTCATGCCATTTTGACATCAGTTGTTTACGTGACTCCGACTGGTATACTACTTTCACGTACTTGTATTTGATTAGACAAATTCATTTAGCTCCAACTTCATCGTCGAATCTATTCAGATTTTATGTTTCCCTCTGTTTTGTTTCGATATAGTCTTTCATTCAGGCCGATCGTCTGGTTGCTGATCATCTCTGCTCCTAAGAGTTTCCTATTGTAGATGCCATATCCTCAACAGGTGCTCATTCCCGTGCCCCAAAGATTCTGCTTTTCTTGGTAGGAATGAAACTTTTGTATAGAACTCACGGAAACTATCTCACGTATGTTCTCTTTGATCTGCCCAGTGAGCATTGTTATTTTGTACCTTTCTCATTCTTTTATCAGACATGTTTGATGGCTTCTTCGTGGGTTTCCCAAACGTTCAACTGCCTTTGCATCCGTATGAGGTCAACATAAGCAGCTAAACTGTCAAACGTTCCGGCAAAAGGTTTTTCTGTTCAACCTTTATCACTTATGTCTTTTGGCTGCGTCAAGTCTTTGTAAAGTGTATTCATTGATCCTGCCCTCTACTCTGGGATACTTCATTTTCAATGGTGTCCTCTGAACCGAAATGAGAAACGTTGGTATTCTTGGTTTGCTTACTGCTTCCCTCACTCATCTCACATTCAAAATGGTGATTTTACGAGCCGAATAGTTAATTGACTAAGATTAAAGCAGGGTATTCGGTAGAAATAACATCTAATTAGGAAGCGATCAAAATCATACTAGTGATTATTGTTGCTTAAAAATATTCAGTTGAACAGAGGCAAAGCTAAAGGATATGCTTCTGACTGCAAGGTCCAAAATCCTGTATCGACAGCAGACACGGAAGTAATATGGACGTTCGGTTCGCATACCCAGTCAGATGAGAACAGAGACTTGAAGTAAGAGGAGGAGCCATTATCTGGGAGGAATCAAGAGTACATCCTAGCGTACGCAGAGAGTTTGTGAGTACTTCATACCATGAGGAGCACGGAGCAGAACACTGACGCGTTCACTCGGGGTACCGTAAGCTGGCTACTGATGGGTTTATCTTAGCAGGAGGGAGCTTCATTTCTATTTTCATGCGTCCGCTCTTGCTCAAAGCTGTTCCACGAAGATTTAATAGGTACATGACAAGCCTTCATCCATGAAAGGATAAAGGATTGAAAAGTATTGTCCTCAAGTTCAGACGATTCAAAGACTACTAGGTCTTTCGCTTTCAAGGAAGTCGTGATTTACTCACAGGATCTTCGCAGCGGGCAAGGATTTAAGAGGCTACGTCGAATACATTGGCTACGAAAAGCAAGTTCTATTGGCTGGAAATGTATCCAGATGAAGTTTTTTTTTCTTCGTCGATGTCGTTTCCTCCGCAACATCGTGCTTAAATGACAGGTTGCGAAGTCCAAAACTCAAGTGTGGAGGACCTTTAAAATCTTGTCATTTTAGTTTCACAATCTTTTCGGCAGGAAAGTTAGCTCAGCCTACCCAGTACACAACGGGCACACACCACGTATTTCCACTTTCGGAAAAGCCACTAAAAAGATAGAAGAAATATAAGCTCGACTCGATATATGTACTTTATTTCTCCCAGGGATTCAACCTGCTTCAAAGCTGCAGCTCGGCCAAGAATAACAATTTGATTTCTAATTACTAAATCACATACTAGAGCTACAATATGACCACCTTCTAAGTGTGTGGGGGGTTCTCTCCTCATGTTACCACAAGCCTTTCTACCCGCATCATATTCCCAAAAAAATCTCAAAATGATCTTATATCCAGGTCTAGGTTGAGACAAGATCGATCTTCCTGTCGGTGATGGGCAAGGGTAGTGGCTTCTGGGCAACGTGGGGATGTTCCGCACCGGTGTAAACCTTCAAATGGGTAAACAAACGCCTTCCCAGCTGCACACGCACACAGACGAAGAGCATCAATACATGTAAGAGGGGAAGACAGCAGATTCAATGATCTTTTTGGTCGACCTCACTCACAATCGTCAAAGACTAGATCGTTACAGGACATAAGGAGTTTGTGGACATTAATTCTCCAAGCTATTCTATCAAGGATCTGAATTGGGCAGAGATAATCCCATCGTCGAGAACCTGAAGAGACTGAAGTCGTAATATCTCAACCCAGGTACGTTGAACATCACCGGATACAAGCAGTATGAGCAAACTGCGGCAGGTGATGGCATAATCCACAAAGAACTGCCTTCTCTAGAGAATTTACGGAGTTTATCGTTATCTGCTAGTCCTCTCTTCCACACGAGTTGGGCTGATCAGAAAAGTCTGCCCTCCATCCAGTGGTTAATTTGAATCCAATCACTGACACGAAAACGCTCGCATACTCCTTATGATGTAGTCGATTCTCCGGTGACATCTTTACCCCGGAGAGCCATCAGCTGCTGTCTGACCCATTTAACTGTGGCTGCCTCATAGAGACTACTCTTGGAATTTTCTTCATGTTCCATCCAAATCTCATGTTTAAAACTATCACTTCTTCGAAAAATCTATGACAAGCACCCTGTTCAAGAGTCTGCAGGAGCATCCTCTGACCCCAGAACCCCACAAGAACAAGTGGTCTAACTGCAGCATGTAACTAAACCTTTCAAAATTACCGGGTTTCAATTTATAGCCTACACGTTGAGTAAAACGAACTGTTCGACGCATCACATCAGCTGGTTATAAGATACCTGAGTCCAACAAGTCTGACCCAGAACACACTGCTACGATCACAAAGAAGAACACAAACTATACTTCACAGCTGCACCAATAGAAGTCGTTGATGTCATAATGGCAGACGCACGATTCAGTGGCAAAAGCATCCTGCAGTCTATCTACACGCGTATGAAAACAAGATGCGTTTCGGCTCTTACCCTTCCCTTGGGGAGCATTCCCCTGACGGCGTGCTCCACAATACGCTCTGGGACTCTCTTTTGCAGGTCATTGAAGGTCTCCACCTTCATTCCTCCGGGCCTTCCTGAGTGCCTTCTGTACAGCTTTTGAGCCCTCTTCTTACCAGTGACTCCTACTTTCTCGGCATTGACCTGCATTAAATTACGAACACAAAGTTTGATATGAGAGAGTTTCAAAGCATTAGTACCTGAAGTTTTACCAAAACAGTCGCCCAGCAGTTATCATAACATAATCCTAGAGAAGATAAATTCTCTGACCCTTCAGATGGCGGCTTTCACAAGTCACCACCGAAACCATCATTGTAGAGAGTAGCGGAAAAAATAAAAACAGATTCAAGTTCCTACAGAATGCTATGAAGCAGAGTACACCCAAAAGAAAGATTGGAGAGTGGCAGCTTACCACAATGACGTAAGCGCCCATGTCAACACTGGGAGTGAATTCAGCCAAGTTCTTTCCACGAATATGAACGGCGATCGCGGAAGCAAGGCGACCTAGACGTTTCTCAGCAGCATCAACGATGTACCAGGTCTTTTCCAAGTTCACGTGGTCCGCTGCCTTCGGGTAGTACGTTGTGTTCCAAACATCCTAAAGACAAAATTTCGAGTTAAGTAAAACCTTCCTGACAGCACCGGGCCGAAAAGGTCACGTCTCTAAACCCTCCAGCGCTGGAAGAGCTGAGGAGAATAAAATGAGACTGAAAAGACTAAGAACACTGGAAAATCTCCCGCTTCAGCAAAAATGTAAGCACCGTTCCGGTTCTTATCATACTGCGACTCGATAAGCGCAAAATAGAAAAATGGGGACTTCCAGCTTCGCCACAAATTAGCAAACCAGTGACGAGGAAAAATTCTATGAGAAGCATTTCCTACCATTCAGTGAATTCAGCGTAAACGAAACGCAGAATCTCAAACTTTTGACAACTGCACAAAAATTCCTCCAGCAAAATTCAAACCGAAAGCGACTCGAGAACTCACAGGTCCCATCTTCTCGACGCCTTCATAGAGGAATTTGTGCTCAGATGGAATGTAGCTTCCCTGGCTGGCGCGGACGGTTAATCTACACCTCTGAGTGGACTGCACGACGACATTCTTCTTCATGGAGAACACATTCCTCTGGCCAGAGAACGACGAGGCCAGAGATGCAGCGGCAACGCACTGGGTGGCCATAGCTGCCATAGTCGGGACTGTCACCACTCCTCGCTCTCGACACGACTGCGAGCTGCTTGGTGGAGGGTCTGGAGCAGCGACCGTGGAGAATCTCGGCAAGTCCGGGCGCGAAGAACCGAATGGCTCGAGAACAGGAGCAGATGCGAGTCTCCACGCTGCACGCTCACCAGTCCTACACTAGGGATGGATAATGGACCCCCTCCGTCCGAGTGGATAACACTCGCCCCTCTCTCCACACACCTTACTATAACCGGACCTGACCTCAGGTAAACTCTCTCTCGTTGTTTTCTTAACTTCAGCTAGTCGGACGCCGGTTCGCGGCTTTCCTTTCTGTACCACGTCAGTTTTACAGCTGCTGGCTTGTCTTCGTACTGCGTCGTGATGTGCAGCAGTTCGAGGCCTCCGTAGTTCATAGTAGTCCAAAGGCTCTACAGGATAACAGGATTTCCATCGTCAGACGTTGTTGATTCAGATCCTTGCTGCTCTACGGTGCCGATTCCTGCATCGAAACCTATTTACAAGCCTAAGCAATGGAAAGCTTTTTTTTATAAGTTCCACTTTAATAATGTTTTGTTTCTTCATGTGACGTTCAAAAGTGGTGAACACGGAATTTTTTTGATATTAAGGTTGAATCAAGGTAAATTTCCCATCATAAATAACTATCATTATATTCCAGCTGAATCACATATACATTGTTATATCTGACGTAGGAACCAGATAATTTCCAAGATAATCATTATTCTTCATATCGTTTATTTCCAAACACTTTGAAGCTAATTTGATTTTTCTTAGCTTCGTTTTCTCCTAGATAATTCGGACGTAATTTGGAAATAAAATAATATTTCTCGTATGATGTTATTCGATGTTACTAATGATTTGTAGGGCTTTTACATATTTGTTGCTTCATTGCTTGGTACCTGTTCATTGCAACAAGATCATGCTGAAACAACCCTCTTTAATTACTATCAGCAGTATAGATTTTGGCTCTTACAGCGTGGTCAATTTTACTTGTTCCTCATCACCTGAAAACAATTTTGAAATAGTTGAACAACTTAGTTGGCTAAGAAGGGGTAGCTTTCTACATTGTTTATTTTGTGCTCGTCAATTTGCAACCACTAGAATTGGCTCACAAGATCATTTGCGAAAAAAAGTTGTACAGGATTCTTGATATAACGGTATATATATAATTTTCATCACAATGTAGGTGTCATACATGAAAATGAAAAATACATATCAATCTTATTTAGTGAGTAGGCTCTCATTATTTTCATACCACTGATGGTTGAGGTGTAACAACATCTGGAACGAAGTGCCCATGATTTTTTAGAATATTTGTAGCACTTTTCGTTTTCCATTAATCAGATGAGTCGTCATCTTCTAAATCATCCTTGATAGAAAATTTGTGCCTTCGAGGCACAAATTATCTAATTTTATCTTCCTTTCACTTCCTAAGTTTCACACGTTTATGAACTCCGCTGTAAATATGATTATCTTCAGCGAGCGTGTACATGCTCAATCAACCCTCAGAGATCTTGGTTTAGTCCTGGCCGGTAAGTTTTACAAGGTCGTTATCAAACATAAAATAAAGGCTCGCTTCGTCAGGAAAAGCGGCCCCATCATTACGCTACTGTGACTTACCCTCTCCACGGCTCGGATATAACCTTTTCAGCAGCCAATGAAAAGGCGCGACACGGTCGTTGAAAAATAATGAAATGAAAAGACGAATTTAATAAAATAAGATTGGGCAGGACTTCCGGTGGCAGGGGTGTGTGGCCCGGTTGGCAACGAAGTAGTGCTCACCTCAGGGGGTCTCCAAGAGCTGCTGCTCCTGCAGAGTCCAGCTCTTCCTTCCTCTCTCTCTCTCTGTCTCCACTGGCACCGGGCGCCTCTTTTCCCCCAGTGAGACAGTCACTCAGACTCAGAGAGAAGAGACGAGACTCTGAGATCTGCTTCACTGAATACGTTAATGGATTGGAGGAAGCCAGCATTCATTCACTCCATATATGAATGTATTTGAGTGCTTGAGTGACTGAAATCTTCCGGGGGAGAGGTTGTCGAGCTGCCGCTCCACATTCTTGTTTCGATTCGATCTGATCGATCGATCGATCGGTGATTCTGCTGCTGCTGCTGCTGCTGTGCTAGGAAAAGAAAGGCTGTCAAGATGTATGGATTTGAGGCTATGACCTTCAATGTGCACGGAGGCTTCCTGGAAGCCATCGTGCGAGGCTACCGCGCTGGAATGTTGACCGCTGCCGATTACAACAATCTGTGTCAGTGTGAATCTCTCGATGACATTAAATTGCACCTCTCTGCCACCGATTACGGCCCATATCTCGCCAATGGTAATTCCATCCTGCCTTTTTCTTATCTGATCTGCGAGATCTGTGAAGTTTGAAATTTTGTTAGCCTTGGGAGAGAATAATTTGCCTCTTGTTTGATTCGTTAGATTCAAACCATTTTTGTCAATCACATTCGGAGCGAGTTGAGATTAAAATGTTGTTTGTGGAGAGGGCAAAAAGAATTTCCGGGATCTTCTCCTTGAGTCTGCGCGAGCTCGAAAATTGTCATGAGTATGTTATCTGATCGTTCAGAAGCTATGCCTGTTGGATCGATCTTTTGTGCGTGTTTGGGATTTTCGAACATTATGTTCGATGAAGATGGGACTCAGTGATGGACGCAGGAAGGTGCTCTTCCTTCTCCTGTAGGAACGACGTTCCAGGCAGGCATTGCGTGCCCAACTGGGTAATGTCTTGCGTCTGGGTCAATGATTTGACAGAACCAATTGAAGAGGATCTGTCTAACTCGAGCCTCTTTTGATATCCACAGAGCCATCGCCCCTACACACGACCACCATCGTGGAGAAATGTACTCAGAAGTTGGTTGATGAATACAACTTTATGCTTACGCAATGCTCAGAACCTCTTTCGACGTTTTTAGAGTACATCACGTAAGTTTCGCTCTGTTCCTCCAGAAACAATACTCATTTGCTTCTTCAAATAAGCAATCCATCATGCTGTCAACTGTCCGTCTCGTAGCCTTTGGTCATTGGCAGTCAACGCATCGATTGTGTTCGTGCGTACACGCTTCTAAATTTTGGACACCTTGTTCAAGCGATCGCGCTATGTGGAATTGTACAGTGGTACTTCGCTGTGGTATCATCTGCGTTCGCGCTAGCTATATGCAGAAGTTGACTGGAATCTGGCTCTTGGTTTGATCAGGTACGGGCATATGATTGACAATGTGGTGCTCATAGTCACCGGGACTCTTCACGAGAGGGATGTCAATGAATTGCTCGAAAAGTGCCACCCTCTGGGTATGTTCGACAGGTATGAACAATTACGACCCCTTGCGATTCTCGTGATGCTTGTTGGTTGGATTTTTCCAACACCGTGGAAACTGAAACGCGTTTTTGTTGCAGCATTGCCACTCTTGCCGTCGCCCAAAACATGCGGGAATTGTACCGACTAGTCCTCGTGGATACGCCACTGGCGCCGTACTTCTCCGAGTGCATTACTTCCGAAGTACGTTTCAGGCCGAGTCGAGTTATTTCCAGGATGTGCTCCATGCTCTCTTCTTGCTTGAACAATCGGTTCTTTCAAGCAAAGATTTTAACATTGAAAGCAAACCTCTTGCAGGATCTGGATGACATGAATATAGAGATCATGCGTAACACTCTGTACAAAGCCTACCTGGAGGACTTCTACCAGTTTTGTCAGGTACATTAATCACGTTGGCGTTAATTTTATGAGGAATTTTGTGCAATTTCCGGGCAGATATTGTGTTTCTCGCTATCCACAAAAAGGAACGGGAGTCTGTCATATGTTGACGCATCCTCCACTGCAGGGTCTTGGAGGCGCCACAGCTGAGCTTATGTGTGATTTGTTATCTTTCGAAGCCGACTGGAGATCAGTGAACATCACAGTGAACAGGTGAGGAAGGCATACGTCAAAATCAAACACAATTACTTGCTGCTTTGAAAGCAACTTTTGGTGAAAAACTTGCTGTTCAGTGGACTGACCATCAGGTGATGTGGTTGATCTTTGAACAGCATTGGAACTGAGCTGACACGTGACGATAGGCGTAAGCTTTACTCCAACTTCGGTCTCTTGTAAGTGCTACCTTGTGCTGCAACTTGAAGCGAACTTTCTGCTTAGACATTTGTTCTTCTGGTGCTGACCTTCCTAATGCGTGATACTATTTACAACCTGAAGTGGCAGAACTCTTGCTCCTCGTTTCTCATCTGCTCTTGATCATTATTCAGGTATCCTTATGGTCATGAAGAGCTCGCAGTAACGGAGGACTTCGATGCGGTACGTACATTTTTAGTGTTAATTCGGTATTACCCCCACGATAATCAACTCCTACGAATTTTCCCAGCAGTAAACTGGAATTAATTGAGTTGAATGAAAGTTGCCAGTAGTTCTTAGAGGCTAAATTAGTAACTCAAATTGTTGATGACAGGTCCGTGGTGCTGTTGAAAAGTACCCACCATATCAAGCAATTTTCTCCAAGCTCTCTTTTGGAGAAAGCCAAATGCTTGACAAGGCTTTCTACGAGGAGGACGTCAAGAGATTGACACTTGTCTTTGAGCAACAGGTTTTACTCCGGCCCTCTCTCACCACGTCCACCATTTCAACGTTGTCCTTCGTTTGCCAGGCAAATTTTTTTCAGATTAGAATATCTTTCTATCCCTGCTGTACGAGAGTATGAAAAGGGTTTTGTACTAAAACAGTTGGTGAATGTTTTACGAATGTGCAGTTTCATTACGCCGTCTTCTTCGCCTACATTAAACTGCGAGAGCAAGAGACCCGAAACTTGATGTGGATCGCAGAATGCGTTGCGCAGAATCAGAAGTCAAGGATTCACGACGGTATCGTGTTTATTTTCTAAATACTTACCCGACTTATTTGTAGAATATGTAATGGTAGATTTTTATTAGTACATGTGCTTGAGCGTTCGGATTTGATCGATTTGTGGAGATAGATGACTACTTAGGTCACCTTATCTAATGGCATAAGTGCGTCGTGGATGGCAACCTATTCTCGATCGCACACTTTTTGGCACCCTCCGAACGATACCAAACTGGAAATAAAATGACATGGGCATCGCCTCGGATAAGTAGTAGAAATTTCTAGGAGAGATTGTAATAAGAGTTATTCTTCCATTGGGTATCTGTTCGGCCCTTTCGGTGTTCATCGGTGTGATTCTGCCACGCTTTAGAGCAGATTTCTCAGATTCTGAGCAAAAGAATGGTGAAACGAATTTTACCTCCAGATCTATGGTGGAAATACAGTCAAGAAAACTTAGCTTACATTCAGCTCGATACCTTACCTTGTTGAGCGGCTTCCAAGATACCGATGAGCGAGCTCGCTCTTGTTGATTGCTGTTTCATTAATGGAAAATATTTAGTCATGTGATCAGATATGAGAGGTACAAAGCGCTGTAAAAGATGGGTGCTGCAGGGGTGAGGATCGTTGGGCGTAAGAAGACTGGACTTTTAATGTTAAATCATGACATTTTATAGTACCTCCCAGTATGTCAATTTTTAAGCTTACCCGTTTTTAAGTATAGAGACATATCTGGTACCCATGACATTCCTCAGTAACTCTCGATACAAATTGCACGGCTGATCCTTAACTCTCACAAGGGGGTGCCCTCAAAAGTCACTGTGCAGCAAGCGCAGCAAATTGGACGTGAAATACGGAGTGATTGTTTATGCATCTCGTGTGTATTGAATGCTTTTTATTCTCGTGTTCTACAGTGATCAGAGTAGCCTGTGTGACATGATTCTACATTATTACACCACTTTTTGATGCTTGAATCTGACCTATAATTGCTGACCTGACGACATCACCAGATACTAAAAGACATACTTTCATCTACTTAACTCACAAAAGCATCTCGATGAAAGAACCAGGGTGATTTGAATCTTGAACAGCAACATCAAAACCTGGATTTATCCAACTATAGACAACTTCTCGTTCACATGTGACCTGTCTTCAACCTCATGTTGAGGGAACTCTATGATCTGATCCTCCTCAGCAAGTTAAGCGACAAGAACCACAACATTGTAATTACTAGAATGCACAAAGGTCACAGTCGGAAATAGAAGGGTTGTGAAAGATCCTACAAATTCCGACATTTTCGGCAACAGTGTGACAAACAGCTGCCAAAACTGTTTACTCTGCCCGTTTCTACACATTAGATCTTGCTAAAAAAGGCGAAGGCGTGGTTTTCTCGTAGAAGCACGATTATGACAGGAAGAGCATGATATGTGGAGCATATAATTATGTCAGACGGTTGTCCAAGTCGCAACATCACATCTCACATGATTTACTGCTCCACATATCATGCTCTGACATAATTGTAGTGATTTCCAATTTCACGTAAGTTGGTGCTGCTGAAGTAACTCTTTCGCGTGCAGCCTCGAAGAACTCTTTGATATCATGAGTCCATTCTCTGCCGGCAGACGATCTTCTCTTCAAATCTCCAAAATGAAACTCTTTGATGAGCACGCGTCAGTCAAAATGCGGGCCAAGCAAATCATATGTAACAGCATTGCTTGACAAATGATTATAACCGGTTGAAGAAAGCTTTCACGCTTCTTGAACAAACACTTTTTTTTGGTCGATTTGGTTCTCTTTACACCAACGCATACAGAGGTTCCTTACATAGAGAGCTGCTCCATAACGCATGCAGTCCAAAACGCTGTGTTCCGTAAGTGAACAACCACTGATCCACTATCATGGGATCTGTGAGATTTAGAGGCGCCTAGTTGAAGCTGTATCCTTGGTTGCTCGGATTATCTCAAAAACAGTAGTGTCTAGAGTATGGACATTCTTACATATTTTTCTTCACCTCAGATATAGATTGACTTCTATCTAGAGCAGCCAACTGGTCACGTAGGTTGTTGTGTTCATCGACTAAACGCTCATACTCCTGTCGGATGCCTTCAGTTTGCTTTCGGATGGCTATTACACTTGCTTCCGCTGCCTTTACTTCCTTGTCTTTGAACTGTACATCAAGCTGCATCTTCTCCACTTTCTCCCTCATATCCTCTACGACAGCCCTCAGTCCTTTCAGTTCTGCCTGTGTTTGACTATCGACGTTCTGCTCTTCTTGAAGCCGCTTATACTCCGCTTCGGCATTTTTCGATTGCTTCTTCAGGACGTCCAAGCTAAGTTTCAGCCCTGATGCCTCCCTCAAGAAGAAGTGGACGCGATTGATCATGATAGCCAGAAGTAAAATAAATCCTGCACAATTGACCATGAAAACAGAGTCAGACACGACGAAGATCCCGTAAACGGATGCTAGAATGTTACTACGGAAATGCAACAGGACTGAAGATAATTGAAACATCAATCAGCCCAGTTACAAGACAGTTCATATTTCCTGTGACTAGCCGAATTCAACAGCGTCTGGCATTATCAAATTCTTTAAAATGACAACGTTACTACATTGCGCGAATGAACAGGAAGCAATTAGAACTTCTGTGCAACGATTAAGGTGACGACAGAACAACGATAATGCAGACGAAACAGGTATAACCACACACAATCCGCTGTATGCAACAGGCGCAATTCACTTAATTCTCTCTGGCAAGAAATTAAATAATATTCTCAAAGTCAACGCACTCTAAAGCCATAAGGCAAAAGTTGTTCGTCACGGGAACACAGTGAACGAAAGAGGGAAACTGTATACTCTGGCGAAAACTGTATCTACGCTCGCCCATGCCAAAAAAAATTGCTCGATTTCTCGAATCGGAATGACCATTGGTGGTCTTCGACATTTCGAATGACCGCGCACAAGTCCAAATCAAAGTTCGTTGCCCCTTAGGGCGAACAGTCTCCACAAAAGAACCTTCCCGCGGTGCACAACTTCCTAAGAGAGACTCTCAAGTGGAGCAAATATAAAGAAGGAAGAGGCGACGGTACCACTCAAAGCCGACTCGAGCTCGGCAGTGCGCATCAGGAAGAATTCTGCCGGAGACCCGTGCACTTCTGATCCATGGTGCTCCAACATATGCTGCCGCGCCTTGACAAAAGTGGAGACATTAGGCGAGAAGCACGCAGAGAGTTGCAAAGAGGGTCTTCGAAACGGCCGATCCCTTGGTGGTCTTCGAAATGTCGACGATCAAGCACGCCGTTTTCACCAGAGGCTTAATTCTACTCACCAACAACAGAGCCAGACACGACTCTAAGACCGACACGACAGCCAGAAGCGGCAACATTGCTCCACCAGAAACAGAAGAGTACCGCAACTCTGGTGAGACAAACGGATCCCGAAATCACAGCAAGAACCACTGCTGCACTCTCTTAAACCCTCTTCCCCACGTCCATAAAAAATCCTCGCCGCAACTCTTCCTTCCAAGTCCACGCTCCGTCCACAACCTCCCTCCCGACTTTCCTCCCTCGCAATTCCGAACAAACTGCCGATCAATCCGTCCTCTGCTCACGAAGCGGACCCCGACCCACGAGAGACCGGCCCCAATTGACCACACTTCGGTACACTACGATAAAACTCGAGCAGCCTCAGCGGCAATTCCACACAGCACAGAGCAGATTCCCACGGAAAACCGCGTGCGCGTCTACTCTCACTGCTCCGGACTGCGACGCTCAAGCGCGTGCGACGATCGTCTCGAAGCCGGAGGTAGCTTCTTGGGCATGGGGCCTCCTGCAACGGGGAACGAGGAACGGGACCGGAAGGAGAACGAGAAGGAGGGAGGAGCAGCAGACCGAGCGAGCGCGGGACGGGGGACGGGGCGGGCGGGGGGAAGAAGGGCCGCTGTGCGAGCGAGAGAGTCGTCGCCCCAAGACCTCCTCGTTTGGACTGTAGTGACAAGGGGGAGAGGAGCATGTTCGATTATGGGCCGCTGCATTGAAGACTGGAAGGGAATCATCGTTCGCATCTCGGCCGTTCGCTCCCGTTTCGCATACGCACGGCCTCACGTCAAGGGACGATGGGGGATCTGAAATCATCCGTCGCAATGTCCGATCGCATTTCTCGCGAGGCAAATTTTTCTCCCTGGTTCCCACTTTTGAAACCGATTAAAGATTTGCGCCTCGCCTTTAACGACTTTTTGGCCAATTTATTCTACTTTTCGTGATCGAAGAGATGAGCAATGGGCCGATTGGGTATACCGATTTTCAGGAATCTTGAGGTAGGTTGAGAGTAAAGATATCTACCTGGCAGTCCGAAATCATCTCGTTCTATGGCGATCTTTCGGACTTTGTATCCACGGCGACTCACTTTATGTAAAAGCTGAAGGCCCTTACTAACTGACGAGGACGTTGGCATGTATATCGACGGGACCTCAACCCATCCTTCTGGCAGTTTTGTTATGGAGATGTATTCTAGTGACGACACTTTCGTCCTACCACAAGCTACTGGTCACATCAAAGCTCGTCTTTCTGTGTTTTCGAGCACATGTCAGGCTGTCACATTAAACCTCGCAGTGTGACGGCAGTCAAGGTCATCCATCTTCTAGCGTCCAGGCTTCAAAACAGTGGCACTTAATTCTCTGGAGTAAACGACTCGATGTCTGAAGTAGCCATCCCAACAATGTCAGGCGGCCACGAGGTTCACTGTTGGTGCATGTGTGATAACTGTGGGAGAGATTCAACAAACTTCATCTCTTAGATTCCACAGTGTCGAAATCAAGTTAACAGCTTACCCAAGATACCCAGGTATTTAGTTTAAGGGAATATATTTGATTTATGTTCACACGACTGTAGAATTGGGATATAGGTTATTGATGGCGAGATCATTTATAGATAATGTGAGAAGAAATACAAGTGTCAGCTCGCGTAGAAGAATGAACCGATCATTGGGAATGCCCGTGAAGAAGAATTAAACGGTTGGCCAAATATGGTACAATACAATATTCCTGCTCGGAATTGCTTCACTTCAAAGCATTGCTAGATGAGCGACAAATGTATACGCCTTGCTTGCGTCTTGCAAGCTCTACTTGATCTCTTGACTGTCTATTACCTCTTTACTATGACTGTGACTACACCGTACACTCACTCGAAATCCTGAACCTGCAAAAATCAATTGACCTCTATCTGGCACAAAATGATATTTTGTCGGCTCATGATTGGTCAGTGAGATGGAAAGAATGCATCTCCTTCTCTTAAAAGAGAGTAGAAAATGGATGTGAGACATGCAACTCTTCATTACTTCTAAAAAGCTTCTTCTAGTTCCTTAAAGATTCGACAAATGTTTCAAAGTTAGCACGTCCTTCCGCGGATCAGATTCGTGAATGGCAACTAATATCTCACTTCCCACAGAGACTGAAGAGGTGAGCATGACTGAGCATTTGAAAGCCACCTGCTCAACACAAGGTAGGGAGACAACAATGTCAGAAAAACTACACTTCGACCATGCAACAAAATACGGTGTCAGCTATCTCCACTTGGACATGTTTATCTGCAACGACATGGGAAACAAGAAACGGGGTCTGACTCACATCTACGAGGAAGATTGACGCCTGTCGATCTTTCATGAACTGAAGAACAACGGCCTCATAAATCTTCCCTTTCGGCTGCCTCTGGAAATATGCCAAGGTCCAGTAACGAACAGCTGAACTCTGTAATCTCCTGGCTTCTTTGGATCGAACATTTGCTAGGGCGGTTTTAGCTTCCACACTGCCACTATTATAAGGAGGCACATCTCCACGCAGGAATGCTTTGACCTGTCCACAACAAACAGGTAAATCATCTACATACATATAAGACTGAAACATCTACCACCACAAAATCTTTTCCAAAGGAAAAATCACAAATTTATCACGGTGACTACTGAACAACTAGCCCATATGAATTTCAATAACTCAAATTCTTCTCTTACTCTTACCAGCATCTACTCCAATACATAATGAAACAGCACGACAATGAAACACTTCCGAGAGAATGCACCTGATAATGGGCAATAAGGTCACCATATCTACGGATCGGCGATGTAAATTGCACGTATCCAGGTAGACCTAAAGACGCATGAGCCATTTTTCTCGTGGAGCTCATGTCCACGGCTCCTAAAAGACGACGAGTAGCAAAGGCTCGGCAAGGTCCATCTGGAACGTTTGAGAGTTCTCGTGAACCGTAATCCGTCTGGGCCTGTCCTCGATAAGGTAAAGACAACCTGTTTTCTTCCCCGATCGAGGCTATAGCTTCTCCACACATAATCATCATCTCTGCAACGAGTTGCATAGCAGGAGTTGACTGATCTTTGACGGTGAGTTCTATAGTAGGATCTGGTGAGTCAGCATTCGTCACCTTCACATCCGTTTCTGGAACTTGAGCAGTAATGGCTCCCTGCACATCATCCACAGTTAAAATTGGAAAGATTACATCTTGGAAGTGCCGAGAAATTGAAGATACCGAAATAATATGCCTGGGCACACTAGACACTTAGCAACCCGTTGTATGATCAGGCGGAGAATACTGATGAGCGGCAGACCTGAGAATGACGCCAATTCGCACGCATTGTGGCAGCCTCTGCTAGTAAATAAAGCTCTGGCTCCTCTGGTACTTCCATAAGTAGAAGTTCCGTCACATTGTCATAAGACAGTCGATATGTAGGCCGAACTGTGGAATTCATCACAGCATACTCTGCTATGCTTTTGTCGTCAACAGCGAACCACATCAATTATAACCAGCTGATAAGAAACAATGAAGGAGAAGGGACTTTCGAAAAAACCATGCAGAGATACAACAAATCAGAACAATTTTTGTAGCAGCAATTCTTCATGGATCTGCTGCGACGATCCTCAGTACAAAAACCTCCTGTGGATGCTGTTATAATCTCTAACCTGAAAGCATGCATATCACACTGTACACTCCTGTGTGTGTGTTTTAAAGAAGAGGAAAAAACTGATACCTGCCATCTTCATGAAGAACTACTGACACACTAACAGCACAGCATTCGGTACCCTGCTTAAGGCTCATCACACCCGCAGCTAACTCCATCGGAAACATTGGAACGGTTCCATCTGGCAGGTAAATCGACGTTCCTCGCGCTTCTGCTTCCCTATATGAACATCGAAATGTCCATTGGTACAGGATGTCCTATTAATAAAAGCATATCACATGTGTTGTTGACAAACCATGGTGAAAAGATATATATACATATGTAGAACTAAGCTACGTTTTCACTTGTTCCCCTCCTGTATAAAGGTATGGGAATACGTTTGAAGAAGTCAAGACAGCTGTATCACCGAGATGCAAATTGAAAGGTGTTATTTATTGAGGCCTTCATCAAACCAAATCTCACACAAGATGGGATTTTTTTCAGTATGTGTCGATTTTATACTGGTCGAGGCCCTATCATATTTCTTACGTGAGGGCCCTGAACATATGAATTTACCCAACCTCCCGCCAGCCCTCAAGGCAGAGATAGAGATAGAAATTTTTCGGTTTAGAGTTATTTTTTAAAGACGGGAAAATTAGCCGTACCTGGTTAGTATATGATCATGAGGCAACCAGCGAGTGGGGTCTGCTACGTGAACCCAGACTTTTATCCGACCGTCAGCGAGCCTTGTTGCGCTCAACCCGTCGTCTATCTGAAAGCATCACGACATTCCTATTAAGTGCAAGAAAATGTTTATAACAGTTTGTTTGATGGTCATTCGTCCTGTCTTTAAGCAAGAGACAACATTCTGAATGGTATATGAGAAAATGCAGTAACTAGAAGCCGCAACAAGAGGCAGATTATTACCTCATCAGTATCTTCAGAATCTATTGTATAGACCTTAAGTGCTGTCAAATCTTTACGGGTTCCCTGTTGCCAGAGGAAAAGCAGGACAAACGTTATTAGTGAGAAAACATAGTGATGTTCAGCAGAGCAGTTTCTTCATCACACACTACTCATGTATTCGACAGAAATAGATTCCAATATTTACCATATCTGGATCATCTTGAGGACTGTTGAGAAAATGTTCTACAGCGGCGAGGTGATCCTTGGTAAACTCCAACTGGTCTTTCATCTTTACTAGGTCAACATTGACATGTAGTGGAAATACCCCCATGCCGATTAGAAGGTTCAAGGCAATTACTGGATTTTTTGTAAGATTTAAAGTCTCCAGCACCTGTATCCAAAGATCAAAGTCATCATCAGATGACAGATAAGATCACTTCCTAGACACTGGTTCACCGTTTGGTCATACATGTACAAGCTCGTACTATACTGACTATCTTAGGCTAAGATGGTGACACACTGCACTAGTGATGAAGTCAAAGGATTTTCAGAAACATATTCGGTCTTAATGAATCAGCCCAGCAAACTGTTGATAAAACGATCCCAAATGATTACAGATAATAAGCTTGTCAAACAGAACTGATTCTGTTTTTTTTTTTCTATCATCGATACTAATCTTTTACCGATAAAGCTCTCTACACACATATTTGCTTCTGTACTCTGCTTGGAAAAAGCTTCACCTGATGAAGATCATCTTCATATGATAAGGATTAGACATCCTACCTCTTCAGCATATTTCTTATGAGTGGGATCTTTCTGAGGCTTTAAAACATAAGATTTCAAAGCTTCAGTTCTTGTGTGGAAATAGTCATCCTCACTCCAGGTACTTGCAGCAGGTTTTTCACCTTGCGGACACTGGAGAGCTGCTTTCACTGCTGCTACGTACGATAGTAAAAGTTTGCGTGCTTTCTCGTCTGCGAGGTGCTTCTGCAGCAGCTCTTTCACCTTTGTATCAATGCCATAAAGAAACTTTAGCCTTCAAAACTGTTGTGGAAAAAAGCAGAAACAAACAACTCGATTTGAAACGAAAATCAAACACTGAAGATAGTTAATTACCGGACAAGCGATTTCAGTTATCTCAAAACTAGTCCCAGAGTCACCTGAGATGGAGGCCGAGGTTCATATGTGGGATTGAGTCCTTGTTGCTTGCATCGAAAATATATCTGATTATTAGAAAGCATTCGATGTACAGTGTAACACTCTATAGGAGATGTCTCTGAATAAATAACCTGCAACACCATAGTCAATCAGAAGGAGATCCCTAATGTTCAAATATACCATCTCTTGATCTGCTTCCCTGTTTCTACTCTACAAAAGGAAACTATTGGTTTCTGCCGATACAACTGCGAACTGATTAATAAACCTGTGACAAAATTGATTTGGCAGGTGTAACTGATAGTATCCTGTAACATATGCTAAGAATCTGACATTCAGCCTCACCTTCGCAAGGTTTTCAGGAAAGACCAACTTTTCTGAAGACATTTCCTCCCATGCGACTTCCAACAAATCCATGTCCTGCACATGTTAGAAAAGAGTTGACATAATATAACAAAGATGTTGTAAAAGAATAATGATCAGAGCTTGACACTTCAGGTCCTAGTGTACACCTTCATATACAAAATCAGTGAAGAGGTCCAGCTCGAAAATTTATCTCATCAGAAAAGTGGTGTCAAACATAAAGAAAACAACTCTAACAAATCTGTTTTGAAGATCAAACTTTGAGTATTCCTACACACGAAATGTTTCGAGATGAACACCTCTATCCTAATATCTGAAGGGACAAGATAGCCGAGCCAATTGCCTTCAACTCACAGGTAAAGAGACCCTAAGCACATTTACCTCTAGATCATCTACTGAACGTAGAAAACTGACGATGTTACTGGGATTGAAATCCTCGATGCCAGGCACGACGTAAGTAATCTGCTGTGGTCTGACAGAATAAGTATTGCCTCCCTGCATAACAGAAGGCAAATAAAACATAATTGTGAACGTTTAGATTGACACTGTAGCTGCTTCAATAAAAGGAATATCCCATTTAATACATCAAGTGTGAGCAAACAATCCTACTTTGATCTATTACTTCACATGAGCTTTTATAGAGTTGTACTTGGAACTTCTTTGTGGAATTTGCTTTTTGGGGGAAGTGCCGAATGGAAATGATCACTTTATGAAATATAACTATCACATTGACAAAAAAGGTGACAGATTACATCCTAAAAAATTTGTAATATATCAAGTGTGAGCAGGCAATCCTACTCTGATCAATATGTAATTCAAATTTATCACCAAAAAAAACATTGTCAACAGGGTAATGACTTGCCTGGTCAACAGCAATCCAATTTTTCTTGCCGTCGGGTTTCTGTGCCACTGCAAGGATAAGTTTGCCACTCTCTCGTTCAAATTCCATCAGGGCTCCCTTCTTTAAAACTGCTTGAGCCTGGGTTGTCTGTACAGATGCCTGGCTGGCTGCCTTAACGACAATTCTGCCCCGATTCCAACGAAAACTGCATTAAGATTTATTCATAAAACACAGACCTTATTGCGACAAAAAGTCTCTGTGCTTCGGGCAGTGACTGAAAACCGCAAAATAACCAATCAAAAGACAGGATTTTTGCTCGAATCAGTTAGATAAACAACATCTCAATTTTTTTTCTAACGCACAAGTTGATCACCATAGATGAAAGCTCCAAGGACACACCTTTTAGGCCGCCGAATCTCAGGAACAAAAGCTTCTTCATGGCAAAATCCTCGGCGTGAAAAAAGATGTGATTCATGCTTCCTCGGTCTTCTCTTCCACCCATAACTAACCTGGCCATTGGGTAATTGATGCAATGCTGTATTGTACGAGCCATAATTCCTTCCTCCACCTGCACTGACAGTGCATACTGCCTTCAAACTTTTGAATCTGATGAAAGCACCAGAACCAAGGAGTCCACTGCTAGCCCTGGTACCAGAAGTGCTGCGACAAAACTCCTCCTTGTGCTGCAAAACAATCCTCCCTGCAGCAGCTCCAGCAATTTCGTCCGTCCATCGGCGACACAGAGCTCTATGGCTCTCCCACACAGTCACGGTCCTACGGGAAAACATCGCGACAGACTGGCCGAATTCTGAAGCACGATGACAGCATGGAGGATTCAGCACGCGCCTGCAGCAATGCATGGCCCAATTTCTAAATTCCTATCGAGGCCGCTTTTCTCTGCCCATGGAATCTCTTCATGCTCTGCTCTCCTCTCCTCTGCTATTTCGAGCCGTGGAGAGGATGGCCGGGTTCTGATTCACCCTGTCGCCGTCTATCTCTTTCTGGCCGAAAACATGATTCTCTGTTAGTGTTAGTGTTAGCGCCTCCAGACTAGCACTAGTGCCAGAGCCACGGCCACATATACCAACGCCGATTGGAAGACCCACACACCGGAAGAAAAGGCAAACGGGTGAGGTTGCCTGAGCATCTGTCAAGTTGTCTGACTATTACTGGGGCTTCTTCTTCCTGCTCTCTATTCAATACAGTATGGATATTGTACGGTCAAAGCCTCTTCGACGAACTTCCAAACCTCGTATTCTTTGTTGTTAGCTGGCTGATGGATCTTCCCGTAGTTTTTGCTATCCACTTGGCCCCTCAACTGTTATCAGATCAGGCAAAATTTAACCATGCATATGAGTATCTGGTTAATGACTGGAGATAGACGTGATTTTTGTCAATCCTAGCAGCACAATCGTAAATTCTTCTTTTCCCTTCGGGGTTACATGTAAATTAAAATACACCAATTTGTCTTATTTGACTTCAAAAAGCAATATGCTGATATATTTGTGAAGCAATTAACTAAAGTACATCTTACTATAACACAATATTATTCATCTACTTCTAACATACTTCAAATTACTTTCAAAACTTATATTTGTATGATGTACAAGCATGAAGCCTTAAGACAATGAACATATTGTGTATGGGTGACGTAGAAGCACAAAGTGAACATGCTCATTAATCAAAATATGTTAATGGTTACTTTTGATTTTATGTTAAATAGATACATCAATTTAAATGTATCATCGTTACCTCTGCATAGGGTTATCCAAGTTACAATTTGAACCTACTGTTTAAATTTGTTGTCTCAAATGCATGTACAAGATTTGTGTACCAGTCAAATTACTTTTAAACAATCTCTCTAAATTCAATCATTGAATTTACTACATCATAGACACACTTTGAAACTTAGAATTCAATCTCATCTCTTACAATAATCCCCTATCACCTTTCATATTTGTCATCATAATGAATTTTACAATACATATTAATGAATCTAATCAACATACATACAAGTTGAAAGAATTTATGGAAAGAAGCCGCTGAAGTTACTATCTAGTTGCAGGAGTCGAGGCTACAAATTGAAGTAAATAATGATTTTTATCCAAGTTGTTTTGGATCATAATGTATCATTGCTTAGATTTATCCAGAATATTGTTTCAAAATCATTATCATTTTTACTTCACCATCTACAAAATCATTTATAATCTCATTTGAAATAAGATCCACAAAATTAACATCTATTTCAAAAATCTACTTCAAGGTATTTGAGTTGAATAGATTCTTGGCAGAGTTTTCAATCGATGAAGTTTTTTATTTCATAAATATCATTTTCATGTATCATTATAATCTTTTAGATTGAAATATAAGCATTACATTTTGTCTATTTTAAACATGAATAGATTAAATCCATAGCTTTTTACTTGTGATTTTCAATGTATATGAAGCCACACAGTTCATTGCAAGTTACATCAATTGATTCATTAAGTCTTGTAATGAAATTTAAATATTAATATTCTTATGATTGCAACAATTACATACATAACAACCTCAAACAAATTTAACTTATTCCATGTATAATATTGTGACAAAAAATAGATCTAAAAATCAGCAGCTTTACTTGATGAGTCTATAGATTACAAACTATCATGTCTTCAATATATGCATGTTGAAGAGTTTACAGCAGTAATGCTTTCAAAACTATGATAATCAAGAAACACATATATGTTGAAATTGATGAAAACAAAGTCAAAAATAATTCATCATTCGTCAAATGTCTCTCATGTCTCAAATTTGAAATGATGCAAAACTTACAACACATGACAAATGAAATCAACTATATATAAGTTAGTAGTTTCATTTAGCATGCAAAATTTAGCAATGAAAGATTTCATTTGTAAAAATGAAGGAAAAAATATTAAAAGCATTGGAAATATTGCAAACAACAACAAAATTCAAAATAATATTATCATATCAACAATGTCACATATTGGATGGTTTTTCAATGAAAACTTCTTATTTCCAAAATGAAATATATACTATATCATTTTGAAGAAATTTTTTACTATAATAGTAATAATTATGTCTGAAACAATTATTATTCTCTCTATATATATCTAATATAGTAGTTACTTATTTTTATATACTTCATGTAAATAAAAACTCTTTGCTTTAATGCAAAACATTTGTAAGATGCAAAATTCAAAAACAAGGTCATTTTTAATATTTTTAATTTTAAGTAATCTGATATCAATAAAATAATGAAAAGTATGAATAAATATTATTATTTTATTTGTTATCATTATCGTCTAAACCATGATTCATTACATTGTGAATTTAGAAATTTTATATTATTATAAGAAAATGTGATATCTAAAAGAATTATGTTAAAATTTTATTTGATGATTTTTTTGAATTATATTTTTACATAACTTCAAATAAAATCTGTTATTCATAGGATTGAACTTTAAGATTATAATTTTATGCTTTGTTTTGCTTGTAGACTTAAATTATTCATTCAATATTAGATCTCTAAATTATACTTCTATATATTCTCAAATCAATAAATATTTTGTTTACAATAATAAAATAATAATTATATTTATTTGTTTTAAAAAATATAATTTGATTAAATAATTGCAACATATAAAATTTATACATAACAAAAGTCTGATAATCGGTTTCGACTTTATACACTGTTTATGTATATGCATATGTATATGTTTATCATATGATCTTCTTATCATTGCATATTTTTTGAAAATATCAATGATATCATTTGTAGATATGTTGTAAATATTTATACTGTAAATGCAAAGTTGATGTTGATTTTTTTCATATAAAATAATAATAATCTTAATTTCCATTACATTATCTTTTAAAAACGACAAAAAATAGGTAAGTACTAATAGAAGCAAATACCAATCTTTTAAATATTACTCGTATTTGAAAAAGATCATATTAACTTTAATCAATATAATTTTATAATGTTCAGATTTAACTCGTGTAAAGCTAAATCTCCGTGAGTTTGATTAGTTTCTCATTATCTAAAGAGCTCACCAAAACTCTCGCTAAGACAAAGTTGAATTTAATTTTAGTATAATTTTTATGTTCTCGTGAATGTAGCTCGCAGCATAGACAAACACGTGTCCAGTGTCATCGTGTGTCTAAGTGCGAATTTGTATTCATTGTTTATGTTTGATTTAAAAAAATTCTATAGATGTATAAATTGCCTTTGATACTTACATTAAATATGATAATGAAATTTTAATGTATGATCAATCGATTTAATTTTATGATTAATTATCTCATAATGTTTTTCATTCATTTTAATTTCATTTCAATTTCATATTATTCATTCATTTCAATTCGGTCATTTCAATTTCATATTATTCATTCATTTCAATTCGGTCATTTCAATACATATTAAATTGTTGGTTTTTGTTAATATGGTCGTTTTATATTTTTAATGACAAAGAAAAAATATTTTATTATTTTATAAATATAATTAAATATATATTTTTAATGGAGATACTTCCAAATTAGAAAAAAAGCATAAAAATCATTTTTAAATTGAAAAAATATTTTAAGACAAAAAACAGATTAAAACAGTAATATCTAATTACTCATTTGAAAATAAATTATTATTTTTTATTTGAGATCATCACAAAAAGAAAACCAATATGGGATTTGAATTATATAAATATATATTGAATAAAAATATTGATGAAACTATACAATGCCAATGAAAAAAATACAATTTATGAAATATTTTTAAAAAAATTAGATTTAAACAGGAATTTATTAGGCAATAACAAATTAGTAAAAAGTCAGAAGAATACTTTAGGTACATAAAAAAATATATTTTTTCTTTCATTCTTTTTGAAACAACAAACGACATAGTGCAATTCTTACAATATGATATAACAAAACACATAGAAATTTTTTGTCATGCGTTTCTTATTTCCAATGAAAAATAAATGGCATGATTTAATATTGCTTGTATTTTTATGGAAATTTTAAAAAATTCCGTTTATTACACATGTAATACAATGTTGCATTATATGTTACAAGTTGAAAAACCTACAAACTTTTCAAACATATTTTTAAAATTATGGATTATGTGTTTTAAATAGAAATTCAAATAAAGTTATTAATTCCAAACATACAGTATGAATTATAATGGTTTAATTTTATGAAATTGAATGTTCAAATGTAAATTTCATATTAAAAGACAGACAAAATATTAATTTATGAGTTTGTGAACATTTTTTATGAGTTAGATGGTTAAAAAATATACATTACTATCATGTATTCAAAAGAAAATGATACATTTTTATCTATATGTGCACTTAGCGTTGTTTACATGCTGGTATGATAACACCATTGAAATATTTAGCAATAAATAAGCAATTTTTGTACAAGTTTTTTGAGATGAGCAATTTGTATATCTAGAGTTTTAAAGTTTAAAAACTATGATGGAGATTAAATATTACATGATTATAGTTTGCAATACTCTAAGTACGTTAGGCATGATAAATTTTTACCATATATGATATGGTTATCAATGTAGTGTCATTTTAAAATTCACAAATTGTTATAAATGAGTAAGGTTAATTGTATTGTGATATTTGTTGTGAGAATGATGAATATCAATGTGAAATGTTCTTATTATATATTTTAATTATAAATTATAATTTGATAGGAAGTTATATGCTTATATTTATGAAGTATGAAATGGATTAACAAAAGAGTGAATTGAGATGAATATATGTTAATAACAACCAATGATATGATAGTAGATTAATTATATTGCAAGATGATTATGCATATGTTCATGTAAGATGAAACCTTTGATCTATCACACATCTTAAATCAAAAAATGATCTATCTTCCACTATGATATGATTAGTAATAAGCTCTTGATTATTTGTTAGATTTGATGTACTTCTAGTTTAATACATGGCTCCTAAATTTTGAGATTTGTCTACAGAAGTTGAGAACCAACAAAAATAAATCTGATGGCATCCATAAATTAAGTACGCTGTCATGATCATAAAGAAATATTTTTTTTGGTCATTTGA